TAGTGCTATAAGAGTACTGTAGCAAGGTCAATTTCGCTACAGTTACAGTATATGATCATACATTCCATAAGCCTGCCACAACATCAGTGTAACCCATTTGTACCCTAACAACCTAACTACCCAACATTAGGTTGTTATAATAGAACGTACATTGACGTTGTGGCAGGCTTATGCAATGCATGATCATGTACAGTAACTAAAACTCCCTTATTTTTGCCTAGATTTGGTTGTTGTTTTTTCTAAAGTTGCTATTTAGTGGATGAGCGAGTGAGCTGAAACTTGTATATATATATATATATATATATATATATATATATATATATATTGCTCTTTTTTATTTTTATTTAATTGGAAAGTTTCTATTATGTTTAGATGAAACTAAATTTATACATGTTTTAAAGGTTAAGAAAAAAATCTGTTGAATGTATTTTTATTCCAGTGTTTTTCCTGTGAACTTCTCATTACTGATAACTTGTGTCCAATCCGATGCTTCTCATAGATGTGCCTTGGGATACACTGTGCTTATGTGGCAATCTCCAGGATCTGTCAACAGTGCTTCTCATAGAGAAACATTAATACCAATGTTTCTCATGTAGAAACGTTCATATCTGCTTTGAAATACAGTTCAAAGTGAGTGAAGCAGAAAGCTCTCTCAGATATCTGCTTGACAGCTGGGAGGTATTACCAAGGGGATTTATAAATTATATATTTCTCTTGAAATCAGCACTTTTATAAAATAAGCCAGAGGGAACATGTGGTTAACCTTTACATCACTTATTGCTCCTGTTCCTTTAAAGGATTGTCTACACAATAAGATGGTGAAGTGATTGTTAAAAAATGTACAAGGTAATAGTGAGCCTTTATCACTTTTGTGAATATATACTTCTTAGTTGGAGAATTTAGATCTTACATGTGCTTGACATATGTATCTAGATTGCTAAATGCCTAGTATTTCTAGAATTAAGACAATTAATATTGGTATTTTTTTTTATGTTTACATGTCAATCTCCTGGATTTGTCAATGATGCTTCTCATAGAAAAACATTGAAACCAATGTTTCTCATATAACTATTCACTACACTACATTTAAAGTGAGTGAGGCAGTAAAGTCTCTCTTATTTTGTTCTTGTAATTGAGGTGTTGGAATCTTCCATGTCCTTGCTTGATATCTTAATTGGTTGTTCATTTGTTTGATATAGATATATACATATATTGATGTTTCTCATATAGAAACATTCACATCTGCTTTGAACTACAGTTCAAAGTGAGTCAAGGAAAATGTTTGTTTTGAGCTGTGTTTCAAAGTTGTTGTATACAGCAAGCACATACTCCAAGAAATCCATGTATAAAGTGGAATTAATAAGGCAAATGTGTGGTTCTTTGTTGATCTCATTTGTATATGCTCACACAGAATCCTTTGCAGTAATAACAGCACAGCAAATATGAGATCTATGTGATCAAGTCTTATAGCTAGACTGGTGTGTGCAAATATGTGTTTAACAATGTATTTATTATCAACTGAATTCACAAAGAAGGTTTTAAATCACTTTTTCTCGCACCATAACTGCAATGGTTTGTGCTCCGCAAGTAACGCCAAGCCACAGTAGGAAGCCAGTAGCAAACCTCATGCTGATGAGTTGCATTAAAAGAAATATGGCCATCCATGAATGCTTTTCTGGCTTTGCACCTCTACATGAGTTGTGTTTCAAAGTTGTTGTATACAGCAGACTTATACTCCAAGGATTTGCTTATAAGGTGTAATAAATGTTGAACTTATATGCATATGCCCACACAGAATCCCTTGTAGCAATAACAGCACTGCAAATATGAGATTTCTGTGGGAAAAGCAAGTCTTATGGCTTGACTGTTTTGTGCACATATGTGTTTAACAATGTATTTACTATATATATATATATATATATATATATATATATATATATATATATACACACACACTGCCTGGCCAAAAAAAAGTTGCCACCTGGATTTTACTAAGCAAATAGGTAAGAGCCTCCTATTGAATAGTTACTGCATGGGTGAGTATCTTTCAGCTGGCCACAAGTTATTTAACCACAACTGATGCAATGAGTAGCTTCTCATTTTTTAAACAACCATGTCAAAATACGCATCCCGTGGTTGTGGAAAAGATGTTAGTCTGTTTGAGAAGGGTCAAATCGTCAGGCATTAAGCAGAGAAAACATCTAGGGAGATTACAGAAATTATTAAAATTGGGTTAAGAACCGTCCAACACATTATTAAAAATTGGAACGATAGTGGGGAACCATCAGTGATGGGCGCATCAGGGTAAGAAGATAGGCAGATGAAGTGATGCACCCATCATGCCTAGTGCCTACTGTACAAGTCTGTGGGAACAGTGCTATGATCTGGGTTGCTGTATGACCAGACTATTCTATCAATGGATTTTTTTCTTCCCTGATGGCACGGGCATATTCCAAGATGACAATGCCAGGATTCATCAGACTCAAATTGTGAAAGAGTGGTTCAGGGAGAATGAGACATAATTTTCACACATGGATTGGCCACCACTGAGTCCAGACCTTAACCCCATTAAGAATCTTTGGGATGTGCTGGAGAAGGCTTTGCGCAGTGGTCTGACTCTCTCATCATCAATACAAGATCTTGGTGAAAAATGAATGCAACACTGGACAGAAATAAATCTTGTGACATTGCAGAAGCTTATTGAAACAATGCCACAGCAAATGCATACCGTAATCAAAACTAAAGGCGGTCCAACAAAATCTTAGAGTGTGTGATTTTTTTTTTGGTGGCAACTTTTTTTTGGCCGGGCAGTGTGCATATATATATATATATATATATATATATATATATAGATGTAAAAAACAGATAAAATTCTTATCTTGTAATACCTTTTTTATTGGACTAACAGAATTTTTTAATGACAAGCTTTCGGGAGAACCTCCCTTTCTCAAGTCTGAAGCATTTCTGAGCAAAACGACACATAGAATTCAAAGTTTAGTTGTGATACAGGGGTTAAAGCGACATGAGTGTAGATAAGACACAGGTTTGTTGGAAAATAGACACCATCTTAGCAGAGGGTCATAAATATCTTGTTGAAGAGAAGAGTAGGGGGGAGAGAGGGAAAAGAAAAACAAACAAGCAGAGAGTGCACAGGATGATACACTTTATACATGCACACACACAGAAATATGTATATGTGAACGCATAAACACATGTATATATACATATACATAAACACATATACATACATGCACATGGACTCATATACACAAATATAAATGCACAGTAATATATATAAGCATTCATGCATACGAGTATGGGAAAGCATAGGTCTACACATAGTACTTTGTATATAGATAGAATAAACATATAGGAATGCATTTTAAAGTGTTGGTACATATGACAGAATAGTAAGATAATGCTGGGAGAGTGTTCATGTAAAGTGTTGGTAGTGGGACAGGAATCCCAAATCAATATTTAGTCCTCTCTTCTTGCTGTTAAACCATTTAATCATTCTGGCTTCAAAGGCTTTTCTTTCCTGGGTATTTTTAAAACCCCCTTTCAGTATTTGATTTTTAGGTCCTTCAGTGAGTGGCCAGGCTGGGTAAAGTGGTGTCCCACAGGAGTGCAGTATGATTCTTCTTTGTGGTGTTTAATAGAGTGTCTGTGCATATTCATTCTGCCATTTAATGGCTGGGTGGTTTCCCCAATGTAGCATCCTAGGTGGCATTTTATGCATTGAATCATGTATACCACATTGCTGGATGTGCAGGAGTATGAACCTTTAATGCTGTAGGTTTTATTGTTGTGTGTGGCTGTGTTGTCTGTGCATATGTGCTGACACAGTTTGCAGCGAGGTTTTTTGCATTGACTGGTCCCGTTTTCTTCGTTCTTACCATCAGTGGGCAGCCTCCTGTTGATTAATTTTTGTTGGAGGTTTGGTGGTTGTCTGAAGGCCAAAATGGGTGTTTCAGGAAAAATGTTTTTCAGAGTCTCATCTTCTGTTAATATTGGTTGTAGGTCTTTGATGATTTTCCGTATTTCCTCAAGAGCAGGGTTGTAGGTGACCACAAGTGGCACTCGTGTGCATATTTTTTTCTCTCTGTATTGTAGCAGGCGCGTACGTGGCGTTTTTACAGCAGAGTTGATTTGTTTGGTAATAGTCTTTGGTTTGTAGCCTTTCTGTCTCATAGATTGGGAGAGTACATTTAGATGGGAATTACGGTCATTAGGGTCAGAGCATATGCGATGGTACCTAGTGGCTTGGCTGTAGATGATGCCCTGTTTAGTATGAGAGGGGTGGAAGCTGGAGCTGTGTAGGTAACTGCACCTGTCTGTGGGTTTTCTGTAAACCGAGGTGTGGATTGTGCCATTATTACATGTCACAGTTGTGTCCAGAAAATTCACAGATCTAGTGGAATATTCCATTTTTAGTTTGATTGATGGATGGAATGTGTTGAAAGAGTCATGGAACTGTATCAGTTTTTCTTTGCTTTCAGTCCAAATTATGAAGATATCATCGATGTAGCGATAATATTTGTATGGTTTGGTGTGTTGGATTTCTAGGAATCTCTGTTCAAGATCTGCCATAAACAGATTAGCATATTGGGGTGCCATTTTAGTGCCCATAGCAGTGCCCATGGTTTGTAGGTAAACCTCATTGTTGAAACTGAAGTAGTTATGTGTGAGGATAAATAGTGCCAGTTCTGTGATAATTCGGGGGCTGTATTTTTGGTTGTTGACATGAGAGAGAAAATGGAAGCAAGCATTGATGCCATCTGTATGTGGAATGTTGCTGTGCAGAGATTCCACATCCATGGTTACAAGGATGGTGTTAGCAGGGAGATTGGTGATTTGGCTGAGTTTGTTGAGGAAGTCGGTTGTGTCTTTTATGAAGCTGTTAGTGTTGGTGACTAGAGGTTTTAGGGTATTTTCTACCAGTCCTGAGATCTGTTCTGTGAGAGTTCCCATTCCTGTAATTATGGGTCTTCGAGGATTACCTGCTTTGTGGATTTTGGGAAGCATATAGAAAGTGCCCATGCAGGGACTAGTTGGTATGAGTGATTGCAGTTCTAGGTGTAAGTTCTCAGGGAAGGATTTAATGAGCTCCCTAAGTTGTGATGTATATTCCTTGGTGGGGTCTTCATTTAGTTTTCTATAGTATTTGTCATCTGACAATTGCCTGTCACCCTCTTTTATGTAGTCCTGGGTGTTCATTATCACTACTGCTCCTCCCTTGTCTGCTGGTTTGATGGTGATAGCATGATTATTTTTCAGGTCATTTATAGCCATTTGTTCCTGTACTGAGAGATTATGAAACATTTTCTTTTGGTTTTGCTTGGTTGTCAAGGATACTGTTCTTAGACGGAAACTTTCAATGTAACTGTCCAGTTTGGCATTTCGTCCTGGTGCTGGACTGAAATTAGTGTTTTTTTTCCGGTTGTTGTAATCCATTGTGGTTTCAGTGCTCTCTTTGTCATGGAAGTATTCCTTAAGTCGCATCCTTCTGAAAAATTCTTCCACGTCAGAGTAGAGCCCAATGTCATCAAGTTTTGTGCTAGGGCAAAATGATAGTCCTTTGGAGAGAACTGATGCTTCTGGGTCAGATAGTTTGTAATCCGAAATGTTAACAATACCAGATTTCTCTTGCCATTCCTCTTTCTCTGCCAAATGTTTGTGATAATCCTGCTGTAGTCTGATGAGTTTATTATTTTTCTTCTTAAAAAGGTCCCTTTGTTGCTTTTTGTAAAAATAGTGTAGATCATGTTCTAGTTGTTTAGCAATATATGTATTCTCCTCACGTAGATTTTGGAGTAGATATTGTTTTTTATGTTGTATGCTATATTTCTTGTTGTAGAGCTGGTGGATGAGATGGTTCCTTAGTTTCTCACTAGTGCGTTTACACAGGTTTTCAGCATACTGTGTTTTCTGCGTATTAGCCAGTGGATTTTTGATTTTTAGGCCTTTGGGGATCAGCTGTCTTTTCTTGCAGATGGATAGAAAGTGTATGTCGCTGTTGAGCTGTACTTCTTTTGTGGTCATCTTGTAGATTTGCTTTTTTAGGCGGCTGTATGCGGTATCTTCCATAGTGTTCAAGTAGAGATTGGCCCCCTATATTACAAGATAAGAATTTTATCTGTTTTGTACATCTACATCACTGGACTAATACGGCTACAATCTCTACTTGAACACTATATATATATATATATATATATATATATATATATATATAATAAATGTTATGCCAGCATTGAAAAGGTTAATATTGGATTTAATCTGTTTAGTACTCATTTAATGCATGCACACTGCCTTCTGAGATTTTGTTTCACATGTAGTAAGTAGTTTAGGGCATGATTTTGGAGCCACTTTTGTTCTACAACGTATTTTTCTTTTGATCCTGTGAAAGTTTCATATGATATCATGCATTGATAATTCAGTTGCAAACATTTACAGAGTTAAACTAGCTGAAAAGTATCATTGCAAGTTTTGCTCCTCTCATTGACAACTGAATAGCAGACCAAACAACTGTTATTTTTATTTTTTTTCACTATTGGGTTTTAAGTGAAGTTAACAAAACTTTAATAAGAGACATCAACCAAAACACAAAATATGTACTTAAAATTAAATGTTTAATAGCAATGTGAAAATCTATATAAAATAATACATTATGTATGTATTATACCTTATTTAGAATAAATATAGTATATTATATAAAATAGTCATTTTGATTCTTGCATTATTTAATTTAAAATAATTTCATAATTATACCCCAAAATTATAAACTATTTTGTAACTTTATAACTCTAGAGTAGGTTATAAAACATCGCTGTCTGAGGTGATCCCATGTAGGTTCCAATACAAATCTTGAAGCTGTCAGTACAGTTATCAATTCTCATAAATCATAAAATCCATAATAGAAAAAGAAAGTCTGCGAGGTTAGAAATCTTAAGATATCTTAGACAGAGGTGATTGATGATATGAAATGACTGCATTCTAAAAATGTTAAAGAAAACAGAGAATGTGCTTCTTTTGAGATAAGTATGTTTTTCCTTTCACTGCATGGGTTTTATGAGAAAAAAAATATAGAAATTATTTAAAATTATTAAATGAGTCCAACAACAGTATCTAACATGAAGTTTGAATGCACATTAATATTTTTTTCTTCTTCCAGAATGATATATCAATAACAAGCATGAAAAATTTCAATTAGCATTTTGGGATTATTGTACATCTTCTAACATATGCTATAGAATGTGAGATCTCACAAGCTTCTTACTCAGATCTTTTGAAAGTTCTAAGTGTACAAAGCTGTAGATATTCAATATTAATACTAGGCTAGTGATTTCTGAATAAAACAACCTTTGCTTCTTTTGTACGTAATCTGAAAATAAATGGAGTCGGACATAAATTTTGTATCATATCTTTCAAATTTACTGTAATTAATGTAACCTGTTCAAGTTGTAAAATAATCTGCTGTGCAGTGCCTGCAAATGATGAGGTACATATAAACAAAATCTTGCCCCAGATGTTGTAGCTCTGAAATAAGCATACATTTCGAGAATTTAAAATATATGCAAATAAGTTCAGCTATCACTGTCTTTTTGTTAGTTTTCCAACCCACATTTATGTGTCCTCACTTTATAATGGCCTGCAATTTATAGGACATCTTTTTGCCAATGCAAAAGTACAGATCTGAATAACCAGGGTCCTGGTAGAACAGAGAATTTAAAATCTTTCTGAGCACCTGCATCTATAGCAAGTTTTTTATTCCTGCAGTATATTTGAGATTTTTTTTATTAAATAATCTTTTTTATGCTCGCACAAGAACTTAAAAATTTCTAAAGCCCAATTCACAATGTGCAGAAATATTCACAAATGATGGGAGAAGAAAACATAAGTTAAGTTTGTGCTTTTTGGTGCAAAATTGTATTATGATCTATTTTTACTATGATATATAAAATATTGCGGTTTAAGTGTGGTAATTTCCTAAAGATCTTAAAGCTGTAAAACGAGAGAATTGCTCGGCATTATACCCGTTTCTTACATATTTATAAAGCTATATCTATCAGTACAAAGCAATCATGCTACTTTATCATGTTATGCTAAATTCTTAAACAAGTCTAAACACGCTGTCACAGATTATGCATAGAAATGTTGTACACTTATTCGGGCTGTAAGTTTGGTGTTGTGTTTGATTGGATTTTAACTACTTATTCTGCAGCTCTTTACAAAATAAAGAGGGTAATTTAACAACAAAAATACATACTGTTATAAATTTGGACAGTAACAATAAGTTAATAAGAACCCTGCTCAACCCAGTTTGCAATCTAGAGCAGGTAGATTATCCAAACTAACAATAAGGCCAGCATGTAGAATAACAAACAAGTCAAAGGTGGGAAAACAGCAGAATTGGAAGGAGAATGTGAAGTAGAGTGTAGAGCAACAAATTAAATTGGGAGAGGAATGACAATTACCATGAGAAATAATAGGCTAATAGATATGGGTTTTAAGGATTGAAAATTAGGGTAGAGTTAGATGGTGCCAAAACTCTGTTCCATAGGAATGGAGCTATCCATGAGAACTCATATAAGTGTGAGTTAGCAATATGGGTACTAGCAGCGGCCAAGAGAAGGTCACCATCAGAATGGCGAGACTGAGTGTACCTTTGAAATGTAATGGGGATTGGAGTTGTTGAGCGTTTTTGTAGGTAGGGGTTAATATTTTTAATTTAATCCTATAAGGTACAGGATGCCAATTTAGCTATTGACTGACAGGTGATGTGTGAGAGGAGTGCTAGGAGAGAAATATAAGCCTGGCAGCAGAATTGATTAGGGACCGAACATAGGTATTTGATATGTATCTGCTAGTTTAATCTGTGTTAATCCATATTGTAATATACCAATACTATATTTTTATACTGTCACTTAAATAAAAATAGGTATACACTAATTGTGCAAGGGTCACATAAAACCACAATATATAAATGTGCATGGATAAACCAGTAAATATATAAACAAACAATGTGTCAAATCAGAATCCAGTGGAAAATAATAAACAATGCAGTGCAATATTAATTTATTGCAGTAAGTTATATATAGTTTATTTATTGTTTCTCAATAGACCCACCATTCTCTATAAATGGCTAAAGTTATTTGAAAAATATTACTTTAAAATACCATTCAATTGCTCCATAGTGAATAATTCAATTTAAAATCCTTAATGTGAATTACAATGCCATCCATACGTTTACTCTTTCTATGTTTAAGTCACTCCTTTGTTCTTATTACTCAAGGGTCTTTAATTCTCCAATCAAACCCTCCCACTTCACCAGCTCTTTGGTGTGATCTTCAATCTCCCGAGCACACTACCATTTGAATTTCAACTTTTTACTTCCATTTCACTTTCTCACCTTCCCTTTCCCCATCTCTTTAAAAATGATTACAAAATATCCCTAGACTTTAAAATGCATATTCCCACAATAACTATTATCTAGTCAATGTTTTATTCTGTTTAACATCTAGCACTAACCCACTATCTGCCCTTTGTGCCTCCCTTGTCCAATCCCCCTTTGATTATAAAAATGTAGGTGGCAGGGCTCTTCTACAGTAGGAACCTGTGGGATCCTTTACTTTATTTGCAGGTGAAACACTGTTCTTACTGTGAAGGGAGGAGTGCTACTCATAGTGCTGGAACATTCATACAGAGAACTTGGAATTTTAACATTGAAGAAAAGAAAATGAGGGAGTGCTCCTTCTTCCTTTATTCATATGCAGCTTCTATATCAAGACTGCTCTGTATATATTTCTGTACTTGACAGGCAACCAGGTATAATACCAAGCAACCTTTTTCTATGCGTGTTTTCTATGTGTATTTCTATGCTTTAAAAATGCATTAAAATTCTTCATATTTTTATTAACTGGCAGGATACTTTTCAGTTTATATGACTTAAAAGGGATAGACATTTAACAGCATTATATTTTACTTGGCATCAAATTCCAATTGCCCCATACAAGTACATGTGTTATGGTTTGTGCTTTGCAAAGCAACAATACTGTGATTTCTCTAATGTCTTTATCACATCTTCCCTTTTTGTCATCTCTTTTTTGTAATTTGCCCTTTTAATGAATAGTGTTCTGAAAAATTGGTGTCTCGTGTTCCAAGAGACTTTTCAATAGCCCATGACCTGGAGATATATGAGAAGCCACAGGACTCTACATTTTTTTGAATGGAGTTATGGGAAACCCCGCTTTTTAAATTCTAATGTATTTATTTATGGGGAGAAACAATGAATCTCTCATATGACCTGCTCACTGATGGCATCAACTGGGCCTGTTATGGGGCCATCGATTTTGAGCATATTTTTGACCTTTTTTATTACTCAACTCAGCAGTCCATGTAGAGATATTTCTTCCTCCTTCAATATTAAATTATATATGAGGGGTTGTTGTCTACTAAATACTGAATAGATGAATCATGAAGCTGTAACATTAAAGGGACACTATAGTCACCAGAACAACTACAGCTTGTTGAATTTGTTCTGGTGAGTATAATCACTACCTTTTTGCTGTAAACACTGTCTTTTCAGAGAAAATGCAGTGTTTACATTACAGCCTAGTGATAACTTCACTGGCCACTCCTCAGATGACTGTTAGAGATCCTTCCTTGGTCATGGCTGCCTAAAGTGCATCCAAACATTCAGTATCTCCTCCCTCTGCATGCAGACACTGAACTTTCCTCATAGAGATTCATTGATTAAATTCATCTCTATGAGGAGATGCTGATTTGCCAGGGCTGTGTTTGAATCATGCTGGTTCTGCCCCTGATCTGCCTCCTTTTCAGTCTCAGCCAATCATATGGGGAAGCATTGTGATTGGATCAGGCCATCACTTCTGATGATGTCAGCAGACTGTTTGTTTTTCTGAGTCTAACAGCATGCAGAGTTACATCTTCAAGCTTGCATACAGTAAGATTTTTACTATATTTATGGAGGCATGAGGGGCCCAGTGAGGGCTAGATGGTGGGCTAGATGGTGGTTTTAACACTATAGGGTCAGGAATACATGTTTTGAGAAAAAGGACATCACTCAT